TAGTATGTTTTTTTCCCACCGGTCTTTGTAGTTCCTTCCCTTTAGACTTTTAGTTATAATGGTTGCTTTTCTGTTTTTAGGTTTACTCTTAGGTCATGTTAGTTTTCTTCCCTGATTAGTCATTGCTTTCACCTGGTCCTCCCCCCACACTCCACACACCTGCAGCTCATCTGCCTCCCATTATGCCCCAGTGTATTTAAGCCCTGTCTTGTCTCTGTGTCTTGTTGGTCCATTGTTGTTTGTCAGTGTTGTTTTGGTGCTCTGTGTGTGCTTCCTGTCCCGTCCCCAGTTTGTGCTCTAATGGGCCATTGCCATCTGTACCGGGTCGGGTAGCCCCAGTCGGCCCCAGCCTGGCCCGGTTGATTCCACACATCCTTGCCTTAAGCCCATGTGGGCTGATTCTACCCACCAATCAGAGGCTTGCTCTAATGGAAGGTGTGAATTTGCTGTCAGCAGTGGGTGTGTTGGCCCTGGTCGGCCTGAAGCAGACCCCCTCGAGAAGAGGGCTGAGAATGAGCCTTGGTTGGCCCGGAAAAATACCAGGCCACCCAGATATGTAAACAACCTACGCTACCCGGCCCGGGCCGACCCGGTACAGATGGGAATGGCCCACAAGTGAGCTATGTTCTCTGTTCTGGATTTTTGGATTTTGGCTCCCTGCCTTTTTGGATTCATCTTTGTTCATCCTACAATAAAAGGATTTTTACTTTATATCCACTCCTGCCTCGTGTCATCCTGGGTTACTGCATTTTGGGTCCAAACCATCCTCGCAACGTGACAGTTTCTCACTCGTGGTAAGATCAGGTCGTTAATGTTATGACGGAGGTTAAAACCAGGTGGAAGGCTGAGCGGGACAGCGCAGTACTATAATAATGATCTAACTTTAGTGGATGTAAGATGAACCTTTGTCTTCATTTTAGTTGGCAGAGGTTTGCACCCTGGAACTCTCCCATGGCCATTTTTGCCCCTTTGTCTCTTTATTGTTGAATCGTTAAACTCTGATCTTAACCTTAAGCTAGTGAAGCCTGCAGTGCTTTAGATGTTTTCCTTTATTGTTTTGGGACCTCCTTGATGATTACTCACTGGCCTAGTGGTATGAGTATCTTCCTTAGGAATGAGAGATGAGGGTTTAAGTCCTGGTCAGGCCAGACCAAAGACTTTAGAAATGGGACCCAATGCTTCCCTGCTTGACACTCAGCTTTAGAGAGGTGGATTGGGGGTTAAACCACCAAATAGTTCCTGAGTGCAGCTGCATCTGCACCTCACCGCTCCCCATGGGGATGGGTCACATGCAGAGATGTAATTTCCCCTGTGTGTGCTGATGACTTATAGGACTTTAACTGTGACAGTCACTTTTGGGATCACTGTTCAATGTGTTTGTCCATTTGTAGATACTGGCTCTCACTAAACACCAACTGGAGTCCAAAATCCTTACAGACTGATAGAAGTAAAATACTTTCTCATGTATTCTGACATTTCTTTATAACAAGGTATGATGTGTTGCTTTTGGGATCTTGCAGCATATTCTATGGATAGATTTGGATAGATTTTTCACTTTATTATGTAACGTCCAGCAATGGTCAATTTAGGTACTGTTTGACCATTCAACATCTGGTCAAAAAGGAGACACGAGACTGCACGTGTTCCCTTTAAATCAGCCTGCCTTCCTCACACCAGCTGGAGCTCAGAGCCTGCAGCTCTGACAGAGATAACTAAATCATAACATTGACATCCTGTTCTTTCCAAGGTCCCCCACAGAGCAACCCTTTCATCTAAACTCCTCGCTTCAAAGAAGAAAGAAGATTTTAAAAATTAAAATATGAATTTCTGAAGTTTACAAGCTAGATAATCATTAAATAAACGTTTGTTTATTGCTGCTTATAATAGTTGTAAAATAATGAAATGTTTCATTAATCTGTGCTTAATGATTGTTTTAGCATGTTTACTTGACAAGGTCATAACATTTGCACTCACACAAGTACAAAGTAAGGTAAAGTTAAGTCCATGACGCATAATTAACCTTTTACCCAGATCAGAGCCTCCGGATCAAAGAAGGCGTGTCTCTCTGAGATTCTTGGTAACATCCAGACTTGTCAACTTTTGGTTGGCTACACAATCATAACATCATAACATTAAAACCAGATCACGCTGGTGATTCTTCAGTTCTAGAGAAGCTTCAGGCCAGCCACGTGAAGCAAAACCCTCTTTAACCCACCAAAGCTTTTGACACGTCGTCAAAACTTTTTTTTCGTGCAAAACAAGCTGATTTGTTCAACTCCTAAAGAGTTATTCCTGAGACGCAAACTAGTTCCAACTGTCGTTACCTGGAGATGACTCTGGACTGACCTGGTCGGATCCAAAAGGGCGTCTCCACTTGGGTGCGTAGAACACCGTGAGATTGCGTCTGGATGTGGTCTTTGATAATAACCAACCTCATAGCTTAACGCAAACCAAATTCTTTTACATCCAAAACTCAGCTCTCAGAGGTACGGAAGTTCTGACCAACACTGCGTTCACACATAGGTTCCAGACATCACCTTTAGTACCATCCACTCACAGTAAATAATAGTTAACCAATGTGTCGTTTTAATTGTTTGTAAAAGAAATTCTTACTTTTATAAACATGACTGTTTCCTGAATCAAAACGAAGTGTGTACAATCCCCTAATAAATAAAGACTCCTAGAATCTTCTGATTAAACACAATAAAGACCAGGCAAGGTGATGTTCTATATTTACATAGAGTATCACAGCTTATTGGTCACAAGTAGAGTTAATATGTATACTGAGCTAAAGTACCCAGTTTACCTAACCCTACAATTATATTAAATAATCTTTTGAAAATGGCATTTGGCTTTTACTCAGAATGTCTTTGGTATTGAAACATGTTAGCTGATCTAAAATATAAAGTATGAATAAAGTGAGAACACATTGATAAGACTGGAAAAAGGTATTTTTTATATTCAAAATAAAAATCAAATTGACGCATTCATGTCTTGCTGCACAATGAGACTCGGAGTGATGATTGTAGTTTGCAGAGCTATGTGGATAAATGCTGGCTTTTCTTTGTGATGCATTCTAATAAAAGGCACTGAAGGTCAATATTTCTGTGTATAATGAAGCTACCTTAAGCTGCAGGAAATATGGCCAATGCTACACGCAAAAGGGCAGCTCGTTAATCTAGTCACAGTGAGGGTGGAAGCCAAAGCTGAGATCTTAAGTGTCTTTTACCAAGATGAGCTTATGAGATAGAATATGTCAGCTCTTAAGGTCAAGCAGGTGCTTCACACTGATGTATTTTGATAAGAACAGTCATTTTACAAATCCTCCTGAAATTATTCGAAACTGTCTCCTGACAAGATGATTCGCACGGCCCCTTTAGGGCGAAAGGGAAGCTTGTGGGGTCCCGCGTGAGTGAGACACACAAAGCACAGAGCAAATCAGTCGTTTAAATATCGTGCAAATGCGGTTGTGAATGGATGAAGAAGAAAAGTAAGGTGTACCAGATTCTAGTGACCTTTAGAAGAGCATCTTACTCTGCCTCTTACCTGGAGGAGCTTAAAAGTGGGTCAAAGGATCCTTTATGTCCTTTGGACCTGTGCCCACAAACACACACACACACACACGCACATACACGAGCATGCGCACGCACACACACACACACACACACACACACACACACACACACACACACACACACACACACACACACATTTTTCTTCAGGAAAATGAATGCATAGCTTTAGTAACTGAGCTTCACGAGCTCAGACAAAAAAAAAAAAAAGAAATCTTTGACCTGTGTCACCTTCTAGGATGATGCTATGGCTGAAACCTTGATTCCCCTCCAAATAATGATGGAAGATGTCTCTCTGAATGACTTTATTGGAACACCGGAACATTCTCTGTGTGAGCGGGATGCTTGTGAATGGACCCTGGATGGCTTGAGGAATCTGGGCTGGGAATGCTAATGACCAACACTCTTCTCCCCTTCAGTAGCCACTACAGCAGTGCCCTGGAGCAAGGCACTTAACCCCTTGCTCGTATTGTTTTTCAGCAACCACCAGCACAAGACTGATTGCAGTGCAGCTCCCTGGTGTGAGCATGGCTGTATGGTGAATGGGATGTAGGTCATCGCAAAATACATCGTAAAAAAGCTGTCAAAATATTCCCCGAGCAAATAAGACATTAAAGGTAATATAAATACAATGGGAAAAAAAGATGCACTCCCTGCTGCCTCAGCGTGGATGTGTGTTTTTGTGTGTGTGTGTGTGTGTGCATTCAAACGGGGAGGATACAAAAATTAAGTGAACTGTGAAACAATAGCAAGACAGAAGTATTTCCGTTTGCCTGTGGGAATCCAACTGTGATGAGAAGTTCAGGAGTTTACCAAAGACCAAACAGTCCACCTGAAAATCTCACCAGAAATAGTTTTACTAGATGAACTCTATTTGACTCTATTTTTAATGGCGTTAAATTCAGCGTCACAACTAACAGCCAACAGCCTTTATCTTAATGAACTGGAGACACTTGAGAATTTTGACAGACTGAGATCCTAAAGCTCTTTTGCTAAATAAACGTCTCACCGTGAAAAACGGCACACAAGGAAGCTAAAAATAAATTAATTCATAGAAAGATATTTCTACAAAGACCCAGTTGGATTTCTAATAGATTTAATGAAACATAACCAAAGATGAACAGATGACACATTTGCTGTAGTCACTATATATAGATATATACAATCTATCTATCTATCTATCTATCTATCTATCTATCTATCTATCTATCTATCTATCTATCTATCTATCTATCTATCTATCTATCTATCTATCTATCTATCTATCTATCTATCTATCTTCGCAGGTAAATGACAATGCTTGTCATTTACTGGAAGAGGTTGAGTTGTTTACACAAGATAATGACTTGGTTTGGCTAATGAACATTTAGTTAAGCCTGATTAAATGATCAATCAGCCACGCTGTGGCCCGGCCCCGCCCCTCCAGCCTCAGAGGACAGTCTCCTCTGCAGGCAGCGTGCGCGCCACACACACTCAGCGTCACGTTCGCTTGGCAACTCTCCGGTGTGTATGTGTGTGTGCGCGCGCGCCCAGAGCGAGATTATTCCCCGCGGCGAGGTAAACTATAAAGAATAACAAAAGCTTTCAAAGATGATGTTCCAAGCCGTCTCCGGTGGTCGGAGTATTTCGTCAGCGTGAACGGTGAGAGCGACGCCATGAAACATACATGTTTAATTAACTTTAACCATGGCGCTGACTACGCAGTCTCATTTACAGCAGATGGTTCATGTGTGTGCACTACTAGTCAGATTATCCCTCTGCATAAATCCTGGTGACTCAGACCTGTCGGTTGAGTTTAATGTCGTTGTTTTTTTTAGCTGCAGGCCTCCCAGAGCCTTGATTGGGATTGTATTATTAATTATAAGACTTTATGGTGAGTTTTAATCAGCCTAAACGCAACTGAAAGCGTCACAAGTTTTAGCTGTGTTGTCGAAACGCGTTTCCCGTTGAAAACGATGCCCCTAACTGTCAAATGTAAACTAATTTCCAGGCTTCTGGGCGCGTGCCCCCAGAGTGCAATGTGTAGATTTTGTTGTAAAAAAACCCCCCAAGTCTTTCACGGAGAAATTAGATAAGTTTTAATATGAGCATCACTAATTTAAATTTGCAAGATACTGCAAAAAAAGTTAAGACCTATTGGAAACAACTATACTGAAGGAGGAAACCAGTGGGAGACATTTTGTAGACTTTAAGCTTGGCCTAAACTTTGAAGGCATTAAAATTCACAATTATGAGTAAGAGACATCTCCAAAAAGTTCTCAGTGTTTTTATTTTGTTTGTTCATTCGGACAGAGGAAACCACTATGATCATTGTCAGCTCTAAATCAGACAGGTTAACTTAGTGTAGTTTGGAATGATGCATTCAGGCTGTTTATAGGGCAACATTAAAAAGGAATGCTACATCTTATATTTCCCAATTTTATTTTTACTCGTTGGGACTAAATTATAAGAATCTATCATAAAATATTGCCGCCTCTATACACATTTAACAGAACCATACTGAACCCCTGATTAGATATTGGAGAGAAATAATCCAAAATAAATGTAATTTTGTTAGATCCTTGTGAGATCTGCCTCAGAAAACTAATAATAATTTTTAAAAAAAGTTATGTGCGTGTTGGCAAGCATGTTTAAAGCAATGTTTGATATTGAGATGGTGATGTCAAAATGAAACTTAAAAATACTATTAGTGAAAATAAGGTAGGTAGGTGGGAGGGAAGAAATGGGTTTTGGTGGATGGGTGATATTCTTGGTGATTTTAAAGCAACACTAAATAAGTTTCCCGCTTCTCTCCTACTTGTTCAGATCACTGGCAAATTTCTTTTCTTTCCTCTTGTTAGTGACTGTTAACGAACTGATAAAGCTAACTGCTAGCTAGGAATGTACATAGTTAACTGGTTAATTGCCATTAATGTTGTAACCGGTAAGAAAGGTTTTGACCAGTTAACTTCAAGTCCTTCTGCTGCACTTGTGGGTAATAAATTTTGTGCTACTATAGGGCGCAAGAGCGCCGCTATCAAAGTATGTTTACTTGGCAACCACAGAAGAAGAAATGAGCTTGTCACATGACCAAACAAATTTGCTCAAACATGAAGCGGTTAGCAAAGAGCACAGCGTGGGAGCGGTTTATTCTTAGTTATTTCATTCTTGAAACACAATAAGCCTCACATCAAAGCGCTGAGCCTGGCAGAACATGGTGCAGCAAACTGAACTAATGGCGAGTAAACCGCTAACAGCCGTGAAGCAGTCAGCGAGCTCCAGCTATTGAATCTACCCATGCCACAAAATTGTTAAGTGTGGTTTTTGGACAGCAGAGGACTACAGAGTGCTGTCCAATGTGAAGTTGGTCCCTTTTCTTCCTCAAGAATCACTGAAATCACATTAAAAGCAAGAGCTTAAAGTGTTCAAATTAATTAGTGTTGCCATCAGTAAACAGGATGTTACTTGCAGCAATGGACCAACAAACAGATTTCTAATTTTATTTGGCTCTTTTACTAAAATGTAAATGCTTTCAATAACAGAGATTAAGGAGAAAATAGAAAATGGTGGAGAAACTGTTTAGGCCAAGGAACTCTTGTCTTGAGGGGTGCTTTATGTAGCAATTAATACATATTATGATCAGTAAGATGTGATATTCCATACAAATAAGAAATATCAATCTGATCGACCTTTGAGTTCTTTGTTTATTCAGGGACCATAAACACACTTCGTATTAATTCAGACAGGGTCAGTATATAGTTTATAAAATGAATTTAATTCTTTTTCCTAAACCAATGATACATGACAAGATATGAATAAGGAGATGTGGTGTGGTGGATGTGAGGTGTTGGAATGGAAGCTAGATGTTGTAGCAACCGTTCTTTGTATCTGAGAGAAAATGTGAAATCTGGGCTGTGAGAGAATTAGTTTTTTTTTTAAACTAGAGAGTTAGTTATTGATTAAAAAAAAAACTCATCAGACACCAGTATGCAGGCTTACGATACCATTGTATGAGTTGCTCCCGGCAGTCCGGAGGTTTGCGGTCAGAGTGGTGATGTCACCGGACGTCGAAACCACAATACTCAGAGATTAGTAGCTTCCTCTGAGTTCAGCTTCCCCGGCCATGAGATGCAACCCGGGGTCTGCAGGTTAGGTGTCCAAGGTGGATGTCTGAGAGTTGAAGTAGGTCTGAAAAGAGCTGTTGTGTCTGTAATCACTTGCAGCTTCGCAGAAAGGTTTTGACTTAAGGTCAAAGGAGTTTGTTTCAAAAGATGCTTCTTTACCGATTTGGCCAAATAGGGGTCCGCTGGAAATTGAATTACTCAGGAAGCAATTATTTTTTATTAAACTACTTTGTTATGATTTCTGGCCAAGTTTGGCAAATCAGAATTTGACACGTTTGAGTATTTACCAACATCCCTCAAAAAGCCACGTCTTCAGATACAAAAATGTTTTTAACCTTAATATGTACCTTATTGTAATGTGTGAGTGTAAGCAATGATTAACTTGTTAAATCAAACGTATACTGATTTGTGATATAAATGGATCATTGTAAGAACAATATTCATTTCAAATTAGTCGATTTAAGCACAGATTACTCAAACATTTCATTTAAACATCTTGTTCATTCATCGCATATGATTATTGTAAGCTTATGAGTTGTAAAAGTCATGGAGTCCTCCCTTATTCAGAGTGAAGAATGTTGACGTCTGGCATCCATGCAGAGCGTGTAGGACCTTGGGAGAGAACGTTTGTCTGGATGTTTTGTCTTCTGTATGTAAACACGTGCTGAGCAGAACCTTCTGGATTTAGAAGGCCAAATAGAAAGTGGATTTATGCTGTAGATGAAAAGTCACTATGTTGTAGGGCTGGGGGTAAACGATTATTTTTAAAACGATTATTCTGACGATTATTTTATCGAATAGTCGACTATTCTAATGACTATTTAGAAAATTAATCTAATGATTATTTTTCTATTGCACAATTAACAAAAACCAGAAAATCTCAAATAAATTCCTCAAAAAAATTGATAAATTCTTACTGTAAGAGAATAAACACTACAGGCCTTCCATTTTGTATAACACTGCGTTTATTTTGTTGCGGTTGGTTATGTTCTGGTGACGTGTAGAACTTGGGAGTGCAGGCTGCTGCCTGAGAGATGGTAGAAGATGGAGTGTCTCCATGCTGCTTTGTTTTGGTCACTTATGTGCGTGAGGCGAGTGGTCTTACGGGTTAAACCAAACTCAAGGTGATATTTTAAACTAAACCGAAAACCCACAACACTCTAAATGTAATAAAAAGGGAGATCTACACCACAAAAAAGATGAACTCTAAACCAAAACGTAACAGCTTATCCCAATGCAAGAAGCTGTTAGCGAAGATGCTAACAGTAGCTTTACCAACATTAAGTTCAAGTTACCAAGTTTAAATAAACCAAAAACACCCAGCAGCAAACAGACCAGCACGGAGGAGAGACTGCTACCACCAAAACAGCTCTCCTCATGTCTGAAAGAAGCTCCTTAATGAAGGGAGAAGCGCTCCCGGTGACTTTCTACATCTGCGATAGACACGAAGCAGCGCATCTGACCCCGGAAGTTGTTGTCCGTTGCCGGGAGACGAAGGGGCAAAACAGGAAAATAATCTAGTAGTGGACGGACGTTGTTCCGGGTCTTCGGTATTTGGCGGAGATGTTAGTGAAGGCGGAGAAGAGGGCGAACTACAGGAAAAACAGGCAGATTCCTCCTCTATTTACAAACTCCTGGGGATGCAACAAGTGGGCGCGGTGCGTCGACTTCCGGATCTGACGTCGACAAATTTTTAGAATCGAGCCGTCGACTTCGTCGAGGCTTCGCTACAGCCCTACTATGTTGGTCAATACATAGGTGAAAATTCACCCTTTTGGACGTTACATTTATAAATAAAGTTTTACTCACTTATAGGGATGTGTATTGGTGAAATTCTGGCAATACAATACGTGTCACGATGTAGGGGAGACGATACAATATCGCACGATATATTGCGATACCTTCAGCCAGACGTTACTAGCAATTTAGACTGAATTTATTGTAGGAAAATTCAATAAACGGTCCAAATTGATAAATGTTTCACATGAGGTATCTGAACCATAATGGAGGGATTTCAGAGGTGGAAACAAAACTCATTGCACACTGCTACCAGCTAGTGGCCGGCATTTGAATTGCACCAAAAGAAAAGAAAATACACAAATGTTTGCATGTAAATTCTTCCAAAAATTGGATACATGGCTTTTAAATATCGATATAATATTGCAGGAAAAATATCACAATATATCGCCATATGGATATTTTCTTACATCCCTACTCACTCACCAATGTACTTAAAAATCAATGCATTACTTGTCAAACACGCTTATTAGTAGAAACTTTGAGCTGGTGTGAATCTTAATGAGATTTCTGAATTAGTAGGGCAGCCTCTTCTCGCAAGGTGATCAATAATCAAACACTTTAACTCACATAATCACAGATGCTAATGGAGCTGAACCGTCGGGCATGTTTTGGATTACAGGTAAATTGTTTTACTGATGTCAGACTAGATTTGTAGATTTAATCATCATACTCTGATTTACTAAGTTGCTGTTATTCCACCTCTACTTTTTTAACAAGTTGGGATATTTAACCATTGAA